AAGCGCCGGAAGCGCTTCCAAATGGGCACCGACAAAGAAAAGGCGCCGGGTCGATCGGGGAGACTGCAACGGGCGGGCGGAGGGACGGGCCCTCTGGACGCCGGGTGGATCCGGGGCTGCTGGGGCCAGCGAGCTGAGCGGCGGGCTGCGTCGTCGACCAGCCCGAACCAAAGTGCGCATGCGCACGCTTCAATCGGGCGCGCCACTCGCTCGCGCGGGCAGACCAGCCCAGGGCGCCGCTGGGCGCCGCGCTGCCAGACGTCAGGGCGAACCCACGCCAGCATTAACGAGAGCTTGCCGTTGACATGGCGGCGTCCCTGCCAACGCGCGCAGCGCGCAATTTCAACGCGGGCGTCGCGCCGCGCTCCGCACGGCGTCCCTCGCCGCCTCAGACGCGCGCGGCGATGCCCAGCGGATGCCGAACTCAGATGCCCGCCGCTCTCGGGCGAACGGCGCGCTGGCCCACCGCGACCAATCGCTTCTTCTGCTTTGCGAACTCACTGTCCCGCGCATGCCTCTTGACATTTTCAAGCTGCGCGGCGGCGCGCGAAACGGCGCAAACTGTGCGCGCGCAGACGGCAGCGACGCCTGCATCACAGCGTCCAGCGATCTGTCAATGTCAATGGCGCTCTCACCTGAGAGAAGACACAACGCATTTCACGCTCTGCCGCCGCTGACCTGTCATGCGCGAGCGCGGCCCGCCAGGCTCGCTCAGGGTCAGCTCGAACGCGGGGTGCTCGACGGGGTCGATGTGATTCGCGCTTGCGCGGGTCACAGCTGCGGCCTGGCAGAAAATTAGCAACCCGCACTGGTCGGCGATCCGAGCAGCGCGCGCGCGTTGCCGGAGCGTCATACTTCGCGCGCGTCGAGATTCAAGGTCGCGCTCTTTCTGGCGGAACTGCGCGCGCGGCCGAGCGAAGGAGAAGCGCGAACGTGGTCTGGCGCGCTGATCTCTGCGCCCAAGCGTTCTGCTCGTTTCTATGTCCCAGACCTGCCGGCTCTCGCGGCAAGTTCCCAGCTCTCAGAAATCATCTTGGAACAATGCTTAACGGGCGCTTGCGCTGGAGGCATGGCCCCCGCTGGCTTCTCCGACTCCCCCCGCCCCGTTAAAACTGTGTCTCGGATCGGGCTCTGCGCGCGCAAGACGCCTGGCGTGCGCCGCGAAGGAGCGCGTCACTTTCTGCGGGCCGGGGCTGCTGGCCGCGCCGCGCGCGTTTCGCAGCAACCGACGCGAGCTCGGTTAGTGGCTGCATGGCCAACGCACGCCGCAAGCAATCTCGGCTTCCCGCTTGGTTGCAGCTAATCAAGCGCGCCAGGGTCCAGGGCTCGACCCAAATGCTGCGCGCCGGGGTTCGACGGCAAGGCGGGCGCCTTGCGTCGGATGAAAGCTCGGCCCAGCAGTGCCCACCATCACCCGTCGGCGTCTTGCACTTGCGGCGCGCGGGGGCGACGGCGAGCGCGCCCGGCCACGTTGATCTTCGCCCAAAGCGCATATTCTGCCAACCGCCACCTCCCAGCCCGACGGGCACCCAGAGAAAGCGAACCACTGACTTGTTTTGCGCGCCGACGCAGCCAGCGGCCCGAGCGCGGACGCTCGGACACGCGCTCGCGCGCGCCCGCCGCGACGGCGAACGCGCGAGGGCGCCCGACGGCGCAACGTAATCTTTCTGCGCGCAAGAGGAACCTGCTGGAAAAAAAACACCAGCGCCGCAGCCGGCCGAGCCCACGCGTCGACGCAGCGATCTTCAAAACCTACGCGCGCCGCGCTCGGGCGCCGGAGAAACATTGCCGCGCTGGGCCGCCACCTCGCGAGAATGCGGCAGGGGCCCGCGCTGTTGCGTTGGTCTAGCAACTCCTGCGCCCGAGCATCGGAGCGGCGCTAGACTCGCGCCGCGCGCTGGATCCTTCACGCCCCGCGCCCTAAAAAGGCTCGCGCCACTGCAGCTGGACGGCCGTAGACCACTCGAAGGCAATCGCACCTGGCAGCAGCGTGGCATGCACATGTGCCATCATCGCGTAGAGTTGGCCCCTCGACGTGCGGACTGGCCTGCTCGCCCGTCGAATGGCGAAGACGGTTGCTTCGAGCGCGCGGCTAGCCGGCGGCGGCGGCGGCAACCGCCCCCCACCCAGCAAAACAAATTGCCGAGGCAGGCGCGCATCGGCCGCGGGAGTTCGGCCGCCCGCGCCCTCCAACGGCTTGGCCCCCAATGGCCAACGCGTTTCTCGCGCCGCGGCCCGAGGTTCCTGCCGGGAACCGCCGGGCCGCAGGGTGAGAAACTGCCTGGCATTTCGGCGCGCATTGGGTAGTTCGCCGCGCGATCGGTCATTGGCTGTGCGGCCACCGCGCGTCGCCCCCGATTTCGGCTCCCCCGGGGGGGCGCAGCTCGCGCCGCGCGCCCAGGCCCCGCGCTCGACCCAGCAGGTGCGCGCCGAGGTTCTGTTCGATGGCACGGCGGGCGCCTGATTCTCCGCCGCAAGACATCTCTGCCCGGCAGCAGTCCGAAGATCCAGTTGCGCCGGCTTTGTTTCTGATACGCTTGGGTGGGAGGCGGCGCGCGTCGGCTCGAACGCTAACTTCACTCTGCCCAGAGACTTCGACCCCGCGGGCTGCGGCGCAGTTGGAGGGGTTCCATTCCTTGCCCGTGGAAAACCTCCGCTCGCGCGCCCAGCCGCTGCCGTCCTGACTGAAAGCCGCGAACCGACTGGCATGGAGCGAGGCACTGTCCCGCCTTTGCGTTGGCCCGGATTCTTCGATTGGCCGCTCAACGGCAACCGCGCGAGCGATGGCTGCCCCAGACGGCGTCGCGCCAAGCCTCAATGCAATGGGCTGCGGCATGGCCAGCAAACCGAACACCTGCGGGCGCTGGCGGCTGCGCGCCTGGCGGCAGGTGGCCTGGTTCTGCCGCGCCGCAATTCAATCTCTGCGCGGCTGTCCGCAGGATCGCCCCCGAAATATTCCAGCGGCGCGCATGGTCCTGCTGGGGGGAAGAATCGACCAGCTACCAAGCAAAATCGGAAGTGGCGACGTGGCCCCAGGCGAAAGGCCGCGCGAGCGCGTCGAGTCCGTCATACGCGGCGGGCGCGGCGCACGCCCCCAGAGCCGCATTCGTGCGCCAACCCCTGCGCCGCGGCTATTGTCATGCCGACGCGCGCGGACCGACGACGACCTCGGGCCTCGGGGCACGCGGCGGCGTAATCTCGCTGGCATTGGGGGCAGAGTGCGGCGGGCGGCATCCCGGCGCCCTCTGCGACTATGTCGTCTGCCTCCCATGCCGAGAGCGCCAGCCGGCCCGCCGCGGCTGCTGACAAGCAACAACAGAAAAACGCGAAACCTATGTCCTAGAAATCGCCGTCTCCTGGTGCGAATCGCCTCCCGTTTTGTCGAAATCCGAGTGGCAGGCGCGCCGCGGCTTGCTTTGTAATGTCGCCTGGCTGCGCCATCGCGGACGCAGCCGCCGACGAAGGAGGCGCGGCTCTCGCCGAGCTGGGACGCGCTTTTGGCTAGTTCTTTGATGTCCACAAGCGTCGGTTCATCGGCGGCCGCGAGCGCAACTGTTTTTCCTGCCCGACTTCTCGCCAATCGGGCGGCGGACGGCGTGCCCCGGCGGAGGTCGCGCGCCCCGCGCGCCAGCGCTCCGTCGCGAATTTGCCCAGCGGCGGCGCTCGGCCCATCCACGATGACGTTGACAGTTGCGGACGGCCTGCCGAGAGAGACGCCGAGCGGCATCGCCCAGCCGCGCGGACAAAAACTAGGTTCAGCGCGCGTCTCTTCAGCCCCCGCGGCGCACTCTGCGGCCGCAGCCCCGAGGGCAAGACAGACGGCCAGGAAATTGCCCGCCGCGCGCCCTCGGAAAGCCATGGCTACGCACGGAGAACCGCGCGCAACAAAATGCGAAGGCGCGCGTTTGGGCCGGCTCGCAGCCCGCGCGCGCCACTGCTGGCAAGAGCGCGAGCGCCCCCCTCGCCTCCGGCAGGTCGGGCCAGGAATCGCACCCGCAAGGCGCCGCGGGGCCGCGTCGACATGCCCGACGCGCGGTTCGTTCGTTGCGCCCGTGGGCGCGGGCCACGTCCGCGAGCGACTGTGATCGCGGAGATGCACGTGCGCAGCATCCCCAGCACCAGCCGCGATACGCACATTCAAATTGTCCTCGCACCAACGACGCGCAAGACCGCTCGCCCGCCCAGCGGCGCTCGGCGGAGCGAGACTCCCCCAATCCGAGCGGGCCGGAGCAGCCGTCTCGGCCTGGTCGCAAGGTCTGGAGACGCGACTGCACTCCAGCGCGTCGCGCTGCGAGACTGCACGCTTCAAGAGGGCCTGGCCGCAAGGGCGCGGCATCCGCATTTGGCTGCGTCGTCGGCTTCGGGCGCGGCATCGAAGCCGCCCGCGGCGAGCCACCGCCGCCCCTCTCCATCCGAAGCGCCAGCGCTGCAACTTCTCATGCGAAGCGGAACGCAGCCGCGCCGGACGTCGCGTTCCCTCCGCCAGTGGGGAAGCGACTGGGGGGATGCTGGAGGAAGAGCGTCGGCGCCCTCCCAGGGCTGTCTTGGTGCGTCCTTTGAACTCTCCCAAGCCTGATTCAAGCCTTCTGGGGCCCCCTGGCGCTGTCTTGCGGGCGCTATAAAACCGCCGGGCACGTTCGAAGTCTGCATTGAAACCTCTCTGGCCCGTCCTGGCGCGCCACCGAACGGGCTTGGAACCCGCGCTGGGGCAGTCTTTGCACGCGCATGCGAGACACTCGACGGCGCGCGCGCCCCGGGCTCTCGGCCCCCACCTCCTTCGCGCACGGAGCGCCCTCTTCTGGAAGGGCGCCGGAAGCGCTTCCAAATGGGCACCGACAAAGATAAGGCGCCGGGTCGATCGGGGAGACTGCAACGGGCGGGCCGGAGGGACGGGCCCTCTGGACGCCGGGTGGATCCGGGGCTGCTGGGGCCAGCGAGCTGAGCGGCGGGCTGCGTCGTCGACCAGTCCGAACCAAAGTGCGCATGCGCACGCTTCAATCGGGCGCGCCACTCGCTCGCGCGGGCAGACGGGTCCAGGGCGCCGCTGGGCGCCGCGCTGCCAGACGTCAGGGCGAACCCACGCCAGCATTAACGAGAGCTTGCCGTTGACGTGGCGGCGTCCCTGCCAACGCGCGCAGCGCGTAATTTCAACGCGGGCGTCGCGCCGCGCTCCGCACGGCGCCCCTCGCCGCCTCAGCCGCGCGCGGCGATGCCCCGCGGATGCCGAACTCAGATGCCCGCCGCTCTCGGCCGAACGGCGCGCTGGCCCACCGCGACCAATCGCTTCTTCTGCTTTGCGAACTCACTGTCCCGCGCATGCCTCTTGACATTTTCAAGCTGCGCGGCGGCGCGCGAAACGGCGCAAAATCTGTCAATGTCAATGGCGCTCTCACCTGAGAGAAGACACAGCGCATTTCACGCTCTGCCGCCGCCGACCTGTCATGCGCGAGCGCGGCCCGCCAGGCTCGCTCAGGGTCAGCTCGAACGCGGGGTGCTCGACGGGGTCGATGTGATTCGCGCTTGCGAGGGTCGCAGCTGCGGTCTGGAAGAAAATTAGCAACCCGCCCTGGTCGGCGATCCGAGCAGCGCGTGCGCGTTGCCGGAGCGTCATACTTGGCGCGCGTCGAGATTCAAGGTCGCGCTCTTTCCGGCGGAACTGCGCGCGCGGCCGAGCGAAGGAGAAGCGCGAACGTGGTCTGGCGCGCTGATCTCTGCGCCCAAGCGTTCTGCTCGTTTCTATGTCCCAGACCTGCTGGCTCTCGCGGCGAGTTCTCAGCTATCAGCTATCAGAAATCATCTTGGAACAGTGCTGAACGGGCGCTTGCGCTGGAGGCATGGCCCCCACTGGCTTCTCCGACTCCCCCCGCCCTTAAAACTGTGTCTCGGATCGGGCTCTGCGCGCGCAAGACGCCCGGCGTGCGCCGCGAAGGAACGCGTCACTTTCTGCGGGCCGGGGCTGCTGGCTGCGCCGCGCGCATTTCGCAGCAACCGACGCGAGCTCGTTTAGTGGCTGCGTGGCCAACGCACGCCGCAAGCAATTTCGGCTTCCCGCTTGGTTGCAGCTAATCAAACGCGCCAGGGCCCAGGGTTCGACCCAAATGCTGCGCGCTGGGGTTCGATGGCAAGGCGGGCGCCTGGCCTCGGATGAAAGCTCGGCCAGCAGTGCCCACCATACTCCGTCGGCGTCGTGCGCTTGCGGCGCGCGGGGGCGACGGCGAGCGCGCCCTGCCACGTTAATCTTCGTCCAAAGCGCATATTCTGCCAACCGCCACCTCCCGGCCCGACGGGCGCCCAGAGAAAGCGAACCACTGACTTGTTTTGCGCGCCGACGCAGCCAGCGGCCCGAGCGCGGACGCTCGGACACGCGCTCGCGCGCGCCCGCCGCGACGGCGAACGCGCGAGGGCGCCCGACGGCGCAAAGTAATCTTTCTGCGCGCAAGAGGAACCTGCCGGAAAAAAAAAAAAAAAAAAAAAAAAAAAAAAAAAAAAAAAAAAAAAAAAAAAAAAAAAAAAAAAAAAACACACCAGCGCCGCAGCCGGCCGAGCCCGCGCGTCGACGCAGCGATCTTCAAAATCCACGCGCGCCGCGTTCGGGCGCCGGAGAAACATTGCCGCGCTGGGCCGCCACCTCGCGGGCATGCGGCAGGGGCCCGCGCTGTTGCGCTGGTCTAGCAACTCCTGCGCCCGAGCATCGGAGCGGCGCTAGACTCGCGCGCGCGCGCTGGAGCCTTCACGCCCCGCGCCCTAAAAAGGCTCGCGCCACTGCAGCTGGACGGCCGCAGGCCACTCGAAGGCAATCGCACCTGGCAGCAGCGTGGCATGCACATGTGCCATCGTCGCGTAGAGTTGGCCCCTCGACGCGCGGACTGGCCTGCTCGCCCGTCGAATGGCGAAGACGGTTGCTTCGAGCGCGCGGCTAGCCGGGCGGCGGCGGCGGCAACCGCCCCCCACCCAGCAAAACACATTGCCGAGGCAGGCGCGCATCGGCCGCGGGAGCTCGGCCGCCCGCGCCCTCCAACGGCTTGGCCCCCAATGGCCAACGCGTTTCTCGCGTCGCGGCCCGAGGTTCCTGCCGGGAACCGCCGGGCCGCAGGATGAGAAACTGCCTGGCATCTCGGCGCGCATTGGGTAGTTCGCCGCGCGATCGGTCATTGGCTGTGCGGCCACCGCGCGTCGCCCCCGACTTCGGCTCCCCCGGGGGGCGCAGCTCGCGCCGCGCGCCCAGGCCCCGCGCTCGACCCAGCAGGTGCGCGCCGAGGTTCGATGGCACGGCGGGCGCCTGATTCTCCGCCGCAAGACATCTCTGCCTGGCAGCAGTCCGAAGATCCAGTTGCGCCGGCTTTGTTTCTGATACGCTTGGGTGGGAGGCGGCGCGCGTCGGCTCGAACGCTAACTTCACTCTGACCAGAGACTTCGACCAGGCGGGCTGCGGCGCAGTCGGAGGGGTTCCATTCCTTGCCCGTGGAAAAACCTCCGCTCGCGCGCCGGGCCGCTGCCGTCCTGACTGAAAGCCGCGAACCGACTGGCATGGAGCGAGGCACTGTCCCGCCTTTGCGTTGGCCCGGATTCTTCGATTGGCCGCTCAACGGCAACCGCGCGAGCGATGGCTGCCCCAGACGGCGTCGCGCCAGGCCTCAATGCAATGGGCTGCGGCATGGCCAGCAAACCGAACACCTGTGGGCGCTGGCGGCTGCGCGCCTGGCGGCATGTGGCCTGGTTCTGCCGCGCCGCAATTCAGTCTCTGCGCGGCTGTCCGCAGGATCGCCCCCGAAATATTCCAGCGGCGCGCATGGTCCTGCTGGGGGGAAGAATCGACCAGCTGCCAAGCAAAATCGGAAGTGGCGACGTGGCCCCAGGCGAAAGGCCGCGCGAGCGCGTCGAGTCCGTCATACGCGGCGGGCGCGGCGCACGCCCCCAGAGCCGCATCCGGGCGCCAACCCTTGCGCCGCGGCTATTGTCATGCCGACGCGCGCGGACCGACGACGACCTCGGGCCTCGGGCACGCGGCGGCGTAATCTCGCTGGCGTTGGGGGCAGAGTGCGCCGGGCGGCATCCCGGCGCCCTCTGCGACGATGTCGTCTGCCTCCCACGCCGAGAGCGCCAGCCGGCCCGCCGCGGCTGCTGGCAAGCAACAACAGAAAACGCGAAACCAACTGGCCCAGAAATTCCGCCGTCTCCTGTGCAATCGCCTCCCGTTTGTCGGAATCCGATGGCAGGCGCGCCGCGGCTTGCTTGTAAATGTCGCCTGGCTGCGCCATCGCGGACGCGGCCGCCGCCGACGAAGGAGGCGCGGCTCTCGCCGAGCTGGGACGCGCTTTTGGCTAGTTCTTTGATGTCCACAAGCGTCGGTTCATCGGCGGCCGCGAGCGCAACTGTTTTTCCTGCCCGACTTCTCGCCAATCGGGCGGCGGACGGCGTGCCCCGGCGGAGGTCGCGCGCCCCGCGCGCCAGCGCTCCGTCGCGAATTTGTCCAGCGGCGGCGCTCGGCCCATCCACGATGACGTTGACAGTTGCGGACGGCCTGCCGAGAGAGACGCCGAGCGGCATCGCCCAGCCGCGCGGACAAAAAATAAGTTCAGCGCGCGTCTCTTCAGCCCCCGCGGCGCACTCTGCGGCCGCAGCCCCGAGGGCAAGACAGACGGCCAGGAAATTGCCCGCCGCGCGCCCTCGGAAAGCCATGGCTGCGCACGGAGAACCGCGCGCAACAAAATGCGAAGGCGCGCGTTTGGGCCGGCTCGCAGCCCGCGCGCGCCACTGCTGGCAAGAGCGCGAGCGCCCCTTTCGCCTCCGGCAGGTCGGGCCAGGAATCGCACCCGCAAGGCGCCGCGGGGCCGCGTCGACATGCCCGACGCGCGGTTCGTTCGTTGCGCCCGTGGGCGCGGGCCACGTCCGCGAGCGACTGCGATCGCGGAGATGCACGTGCGCAGCATCCCCAGCACCAGCCGCGATACGCACATTCAAATTGTCCTTTGAACTCTTGGTGCGTCCTTTGAACTCTCCCAAGCCTGATTCAAGCCTTCTGGGGCCCCCTGGCGCTGTCTTGCGGGCGCTATAAAACCGCCGGGCACGTTCGAAGTCTGCATTGAAACCTCTCTGGCCCGTCCTGGCGCTCCACCGAACTGGCTTGGAACCCGCGCTGGGGCAGTCTTTGCTTGCGCATGCGAGACACTCGACGGCGCGCGCGCCCCGGGCTCTCGGCCCCCACCTCCTTCGCGCGCGGAGCGCCCTCTTCTGGAAGGGCGCCGGAAGCGCTTCCAAATGGGCACCGACAAAGAAAAGGCGCCGGGTCGATCGGGGAGACTGCAACGGGCGGGCCGGAGGGACGGGCCCTCTGGACGCCGGGTGGATCCGGGGCTGCTGGGGCCAGCGGGCTGAGCGGCGGGCTGCGTCGTCGACCAGTCCGAAACAAAGTGCGCATGCGCGCGCTTCAATCGGGCGCGCAACTCGCTCGCGCGGGCAGACCGGCCCAGGGCGCCGCTGGGCGCCGCGCTGCCAGACGTCAGGGCGAACCCACGCCAGCATCAACGAGAGCTTGCCGTTGACATGGCGGCGCCCCAGCGCGCGCAGCGCGCAATTTCAACGCGGGCGTCGCGACGCGCTCCGCACGGCGTCCCTCGCCGCCTCAGCCGCGCGCGGCGATGCCCAGCGGATGCCGAACTCAGCTGCCCGCCGTTCTCGGGCGAACGGCGCGCTGGCCCACCGCGACCAATCGCTTCTTCTGCTTTGCGAACTCACGGTCCCGCGCATGCCTCTTGACATTTTCAAGCTGCGCGGCGGCGCGCGAAACGGCGCAAACTGTGCGCGCGCAGACGGCAGCGACGCCTGCATCACAGCGTCCATCGATCTGTCAATGTCAATGGCGCTCTCACCTGAGAGAAGACACAGCGCATTTCACGCTCTGCCGCCGCCGACCTGTCATGCGCGAGCGCGGCCCGCCAGGCTCGCTCAGGGTCAGCTCGAACGCGGGGTGCACGACGGGGTCGATGTGATTCGCGCTTGCGAGGGTCACAGCTGCGGCCTGGAAGAAAATTAGCAACCCGCCCTGGTCGGCGATCCGAGCAGCGCGTGCGCGTTGCCGGAGCGTCATACTTGGCGCGCGTCGAGATTCAAGGTCGCGCTCTT